CCGCGCCGCCGCTCTCGCGCCTCTGATTGGCCGGCGGCCGCCCCTGACGTGCCCGCGCGGCGCAGGGCGCAGGCGGGTGTGAGGGGCCGCGGCGGGCCCAGGTCTCTTCCCCTGTGGCGAGTCTCTTCCCTTCCGGTGAGTGGCCGCCCGGAGCCGCAGCCGCATGTGCTGGGGACGGCTCCGTCCCCTTCCCCCGGCGCCTTGCGGGGAGGAATGGGTGCGGGGCCTGCGGCGGCGCTGATGGCGGCCGGGAGGGCCGGGCCCTGCGCTGTCATCCGCCGCCAGCGCTCGAGTCGCCGGGAAGTTTCCCCGCGGCTTCGCTGGGGACGGGGCTGCAGCCATGGTCTGTCGCTTTCCCCATCTCAACCTCGCTGGTTTTGCTTCGTCTTCAGAAGGGCAGAGCGGTGGGGGAGCCGGCGGCTAGCGAAAGGCTGAGCTCCTTCAGGGGAAGGAGGTTTTGGGGGGGAGTCCAGGCTGCCGATAGCTTGGTTTGTTGTGCCTGGTGCGGGCTGGACCGTGCGGGTTGCTGAGCTGGAGCAGCAAAGCGGAGGGTGCGCGTCTCCCCCTAGAGAAGGCCTTTTGTCTGGGGAATTGTGCGCGGGCTACGAGCCCCTGGACCCGCTCTGAGTCCCATGGAAGTATGTGCGAGAAAATGTGCTAAGACCTTCAGTGCCCTGCAGCCCTCTTTAAGGTTAGCCTCATTCAAGCTGATTGCCAGAGGGGCAGTATGTGGAGAGGTCTGTGCTGCTCTTCTCTTGTCCCAGGTTCTCACTGGCAGTGTGGTCACATGCCAGTGATGTGGGAGACCTCGGCCTGCTTTGTTTTTCTGGTAGAAAAAACTTATCTGGAGATGCCTGGAAACAACCATTCAAATGCTGAGTCTCTGAAGAGCAGAGAGCTAGACCCCTGTGTACACACTTCCTTGTGCTCTGCAGGCTCCCTTAGTCTGCCTGGAGACAGATAGTAGCAATGCAAAGGGCTGCCCTGATTGCTCTCTACAGCACAATGGGGGTGGGGGGGTTCTGCTCCTTGCTGGGCTGGAGCAGTAGAGCCCAGTGAGCAACACAATGTCTCCCTAAAAGCAGCCGGGGATGCCAGAGGAATATACTGTGGATTCTTTCAAAAGAGAATATGTACAGACATTCATTCTTCTGGGAATAATTTAACCCTAGTTGTTTCCAGTTTTATTTTTCTCCCAGAGCAGCCTTTTTACCTTTGAACATCTGTGCACTCGTGGTTTCTCCTGGGAGAGCAGCCATTCTCCCAGGAGAAACTGAAGGTCTGTACGTGGACAGAGTTAGCTCAGATGTGACCTCTGTTTATAACATTAGACTGCAAGCAGAAGGTTGGATTTCTTCTGCGACAAAGCCTTTTATCCTAGCATCTACAGACATACAAGCTTACTGTCCCATATTAAGTACCTTAGAGGCATCTGAGAGGATGCTTTTTCCTGGGAAAATAAAGAGTAATTTGCATTAGCACTAAAATTGTGGCTGTAAATTATTCCCCCATATCTCTTTTGATGCACGTAAAGGCCCCGGACGCTCAGACCTAATGTCTGTTTTTACCCTTGAAGAATGTCGGTTCACTAGACCCAAGTTGTGTTAGCTAATATAACCGCTTCAGAAGTCTTTTCAGTTCGTACCTTTTTATTTAATAAGTTACTTGTTAGTATTAGAAGTTGAAACTGGTTGAAACATTAGTGGTATGCTTCTTCGAAGAGTAAATGTAACAAACATAGAAACCATGTTTGAGAGCTATATTATAGGTGGTTACAAGTTGTTTTTAGCCCAAAGTACTATGTTGGGTTTACCCCAGGTATGATTGTCCAGGGCTTTGAATCGCATCAAAACAGGCGTGGGGCAGTCATTTGTAAATGCAGTTTGAATAGCAATTAACTTGAATTAGCAGCTGTGTGGGGAGTCTCAGTACTTTACAGGCACTTAAACTGGGATAATCAATGTGTACATCTGTAGGATCCAGCAGCTCTCTGTTGGCTTTGTCCCTGGGAGAAATCGAACATCTGCTTTTTAACTTTATAGTAAATGTGATCTTATAGGTTGATTAGTACCAATGCATCCTGGATTCATGTTTATTAATTAGCCCTTTGAGAACCACGTTTGGTGTGTGAGTGGTGTGGCCAAAGCAACTTTCCAGATTTAGCACAAGTGAGCAGTATCCTGGTACGTTGTTCTAGCTTTTGGAAACAGTCTGACAATTTCTGTTGCTTTTGTATGGTTTCTCTTTGAGTCCTGTGATGAAAAACTATAACTGTTGTTATAACAGTTTGGTCAAATGGTTTGGCTGTCCACTAACTGGCTGCAGTAGTCACTTTTCCCAAGTTTAACACAGCAACAAGGTAATTTTGACTGAAACTGATCCAGGTTTGTCTCCCTTTTTCAAATAACAATCTGTTATGCTGATCTACATTTTAGCTGTTTCAGAACGGTGTGCATTGTCATAAATTTCACATTTTTGAATGGAAATGTAACCTATATTAATAGGGTAATCATATGTCCCGGCTTAACTAAGATGGTGCCAGATTTTGGAGGCTGGTCCTTTCCAATTGTTGAGAATTATCATGGGCGTCCCACAAATGCAGGGGCAAGGGATGCAGTCTACCTGGGAGTTGGGGCAGTGCAAAGCGTGTTGCAGGTGGACAGGCAGGTACCGTTGCCTTCCCAGCATGCAACCCTGCCCCTGCCGACTTGTGAAGGCGGGGGGACGGTGTCCAATAAATGTCCTGGATTTCCTTATGATCAGCCTACATATTAATGATTTGCATAACAAACATTTATTTCTTTGGCAGTCCTAGTTTTGCTGCTTTGATTCCCATCTATCAGTTCAACAGCAGTGGTGGGGCTGGATGAGGTGTTTGCACAGTCTTCTGTGTAGTATCACCTTCATGGCTTTGTTTATCTTTAAGCTTTTCTTTTTTATATCATTCTTGACAGCATCTATCTAATTCATCCTTGGTCTTCCTGTTTTTTATTTCCCTGCATTGTGGTACATATTGCTATAAGCATTATCTCTTACTGGTTAATTCTTAATTCCCCTCAGCCAGCCAGTATCTCCAGTCAATAGCTTTCATTCATCTTTTTTTCTTTTTCTTTCTTTCTTTCTTTTTTTTTTTTTAATTCCATCATTCTAATTTTCTCAGTAATGTGAGAGCAACAGTCACCTTGCATACCTTGATGCTCATGTTTATCACGGTATCTTTAGTCTGTCAATACTGAGATCAATACTGTCTGTCAATTTACTGTATACTTCCACATACCACATACTCCTATTTTATCTCTTGATACTAAAACTATTACTATTTCCAATAGCATAATGAACAAATTTAGTTATATTGTATTCCTGCCTCATTCTTATGGTCATTTTAAACCAGGGTCATAAAAAATAGGTCCTGTGGGCTGGATCTGACTGTGAAGCCATATTATCCTGCCCCCAGTGCTGCCAGTGAGTCTCAAAGTAATCCAGAGGCAGAACGCAGGGTGCACCAGATGGTCCCATGTGCCTCACACGGTGCCTGCTTCAGCCTGTGTCCCCAAGCAGCAGCACAGTGGCCATGTTACCTTTCTGAGGATATTCAACATGGCCACTGTGGGAGTGGCTCCAGAACCATGCTGCATGGTCCTGGAGCAGCTGGAATAGGACCAGGCCACATGTGGTGGCCTCTTAAGGGCATTCTCTGGGTCCAGAATGAAGGGCTGGCTTGTAGATCCAGTCCAGTCCATATACAGGTCCCACAGTAGCCGTCTAGCCCAGGGGGCCGAATTAATTTGTCACCCCTGTTTTGCGATACTGTAAAAGAAAGATCATTATCTAAATGTAACATAACTAAAACACTTCCTGAAAAATGTGAAGTGGTATGCCAAACATTAATGCTGAACCTTGAAACTGACCCTGTTAACCTTGAAATAAATACTGAATGTTCTTACAATAAAAATATTCCATAAGCTGTTTGTCCACTCTAATTTCACTTGATTAGATTACTTCTATCAATCTAATCAGTTTCTAGTGGAGGTGTACTGATACATCGGTCCATATTGTATAGGCATCGATAAAAGGAAAATTGACATCATCGGCAATTGGCTTTTTTGGTTGAAGTAGCTGGAAATGTCGCTAGTAAATGCCATGTGCATGCTTGCAGCCACAGCATTCATGTGGCCAGCCTGGAGAGCAAGCATCCGGCTGGTAAGTCTGTTGAGGGGGGTGGGTGGAGGGAAGGGGTCTGGAGGGGTGCAGATGCAGGCCCCTGCAGTGAGGGAGGGAATGGGGTGCTGCCCAGTCACTCATGCGGGGGGTGGTGGATCCCACTGCTATGCACACCCCCTGGGGAGTCATGAGGGGGGCATGTGCCCCCCAGATCTGTGCACAGGGAGAGGGTGAGCTGCCACTGAAGGCTGGTGTCAGGGGCAGAGCTGGGCTCTTCCCACCAGGAGGTTGGGCTGGGGCTATGCTCGGTGTGGGTGGTGGTGCTGCGAGGGGAGTTATGAGAGGGGGCTATGGCAAATTTTAGGGTGGTTGTAGCCCACCATGTAGCACCCCCCACTCCTGCACTGCTGCTGCCCACCTTGAACAGAGTCCTGGCCCAGCCCGCTCCACCAGGATGAGTTCAGCACCAGCCCACAGCAGCAGCTCACCCTCACCCTGCATGCTGATCCTAGGGGTACATGTCTGCCATGACCCCCTCTGGGGTGCATGCACTGGTAGGATCCACCCCCCGTACGCCCACAGACGAGCCTCTCGCAGCTCAGTCCTGTGCTCTGCCCTGATACGGCAGCGCCTGCCACTGTACCAGCCCCACTCCCTCCCTCACCACAGGGGCCTCTATCCACTACCACCACACCCCTTCCCTCCCCTCTCCAAGTTGCCAGGCTGCATATCAGCAATTGGTATTGGCTGTTATGGGTCATTAATAATTGGCCATCAGCATTGGCCCAAAAAATTTTTATTGGTGTACCTGTAATTTCTATCCGTCTAATCAGTGGTGTATGTTCTCAAAGCTTTCTATAAATCATTCTGTAAGGTGCTATCAAAAGCTTGATGAGGTTTAAAGTTGTTATAACAGTTTTGTATAACAATTTGGTGTTGTTCTGCAGTTTAAGATAATGATCATTAACTTGAACAACTAATTAACATGTTGCTTATGGTGAGGACATTTCTGCTAACAACTCAGACTTTCAAAGGATTAAAGGTACAAGCATCTCTGAGGCTTGCGACTCACGAAATCCTTTATCAAAACTGCAAGACCAAGCTTGACATTCCTGATATGATGTAAAGAAAGAATCTTTTCCTTCATATGATTGTTTCTCTCCTTATCTTTCATAAGAAGACAAAAATGTGTTTAATCTGAAGGCAGGGTAGCAGCTTTAAGATTTAACTCATTCAGAAAAGCATAAGCTTTTGTAGGCTACAGTCCACTTTGTCAGATGGTGTATGAAAAACAGCATAATATCTGACCAAGTAAGCTGTGGCCAATGAAAAGTTTTGTTTCTGAATAAGCTAATCTTAATGTGCCACTGTGCACTGCTTATACATCATAAGGAAATGAAAGGGGACAAGCCTTAAGCACCTGTGTATATATGCACACTTAAGTAATTTTTAAAATTATTTTAATTTCTTTGCAAGCATTTAAGTATCATGCTTAGAAGTTTTCTTATATTATTCCGCCTTTCATCTTGAATTGCTGCTTTTGTTGTATGACCTTCATAGAACAAAGAGGTTTAATGTTTGGTAAACATCTCTTTTTAAGCGCTGGGTAAGTATCATGGATATAGAAATGGAAATTCAGGTAATATTTGGAATTTGTCTTGCTGGTTTGATATGCGTGGTATGTGTATCAATGGTTGTGGTTAAGCAATAACAACACCCTGTCATCTGCCAGCTACTTTTCAAATCTTTTATTACCTGTTCCTTTCTTTTAAATGTTCTTTCTTAGACTATGTGCACATATTCAGATAATCTAAGAGAATTCTCCCAGGTTTGTTCTTGTGGTAGAGAAAATTTCCCAGAGCTGTGTATACAGATATTTGAATGCTGAGGCCCTGAAGAGTGAAGAGTTTGCAGTGCTGACACTGTTCACCTGGGGAGGAGGGTGCTATAAACACATTTCAGCATGATCTGTAGGCTCCCTCATCTTTCCTGGTGACAGATGGCAGCAGTGCATAGGGCACCCCTGACTGACTGACACAAACTGCCCCGGTCAAGCTATTTCTGTGCAACACAATGTGGGGTTTGTGAAGGGGGCATTTTCTGCTCCCTGCTGGAGCAGCAGAGTCCAGTGAGTGACACGCTGTTTCCCTGGAAGCGAAGCAGGGGGAATTCTAGATGACCATGTTCTCTTCTGAGAGAAGCCACAACATGTGCAGACATTCACTCTCTCAGGAGAAACTCTCAAGTGTAATGTAGAAACTCTTGGGAGTGATTTAATCCTGATTGTTCCCAGGTTATTTTTCTCCTGGAGTGGCTATTTTTACTCTCGGAGAAAAAGCCTGAACATCTGTATACTCATGGTTTCTTCTGGGTGAGCAGTGACTCTTGTAGGAGAATCTGAATGTCTGTATGAAGCCTTAGTGTAGTCTTCAGCTATCCCTATTGAGTGGCACTACTTGAGATAGTAGAAGTGGGGCCTCCCTAAGAGATGGAACTTGTTCTGCTTGCATGGTTCTGACAGTACTTATTCTTAAAGTCCTCAGTTGTCTTCATCTCTGATCGCAAACCATGGCAAGCACACTTGTCCTTATTCATCTGCAGTTTCCCTATTCATCAGTAAATAGGGCCTCCCATCTGCATAGTTGTATCTTATAGGGTTCTTTCAACTCTTGTCCTTAACTTCCTTAATTTGATTAACCAGAATCCAGTTTCTTTGTCCTGGCGCCTATATACTCTCCTAAACAAAACTGAGGCCCTGTCTGAAACTGTGTCCAAATCCTGCCTAGCCACCCCCCGCCCCCCACCTCAGGCCTGGACTCCATCTTGAATATTAGCCTTAACACATTCATTAGCTGCTTAAACATTTTAAAATATTAAAGCATAAAGCCATAGTAAGTGTAATGTAAAGAACAGACCTGCTTTATTAATAATTTCCAGCTCTAACTTTTAATTAACTTCAAACATTTGATTTGATTCAAACAGACTTTTAAAATACTGGTATTTGCAGCAGAATTGAGAGAAAAACACTTTTAAATTATGAAATACTTCATGAATTTGGTTTTAAAGTATAGGGTTTTTTTATTCCAGGGCATGAAAGATGGAGCCTTCAAATATGATAATCCGGAAGCCTTGGAGAGCAAGAAAAACTATGACGCAAAGTAGTCGAAAGCAAGTGAAAATGCTGAATAAAATAAAGACAATTTCAGGACAAGAAAAGTTTGTAAATCTTGAGGAGGATCACCCTGATCAATTGAACTCTGTGGACGTAAGCAACGGAAGTAACGATACTGTAAAAGAAAGATCATTATCTAAATGTAACATAACTAAAACACTTCCTGAAAAATGTGAACTGGTATGCCAAACATTAATGCTGAACCTTGAAACTGACCCTGTTAACCTTGAAGTAAATACTGAATGTTCTTACGATAAAAATATTGATCAAAATAGATGTAAAAAAGAATCCCAAGATCCTACCCCTGAGAAGTCTTGCAACAAAATATGTGATGCAAAGCAGTTTGTAAGTTCTGGGTGTCTACAAGATATACTGGATAATTGGCATGAAAATGAATTAACTTCACCATCGTCCAAACCAATTGAAGTGCATCTTTATTCAGAACCAAATGGATTACCTGTTGAATTAAAAAGGAGCACTTATTTAAAAGGCAAAGCTAGCAGTGTCTTTGAGAATGAAAGAACTAATGGTATGAATCCTGATTTAGAAGAGACTGACACAAAAGTAGAAACAAATATTTCCAAAAAATCTATTCCCACTTCAGAAAGGACAGATACCATAGAAGATTCAAATAAACTAAAGCATGAGAATAATATTAGTTCAGTTACTCCCACACAGCTTGAGACAGATAAAACTGATTTTGAAAGCAAAATGCCATATGGGAATGGTAATCCAAATATTTTTGAAGATGATAAAACTGATCTTAAACTACGAGATATGTCACCTGAATCTAAGTTTGGTAAGCACTTTCTTCTAATTACCTGACTGTTTTTGAGATTCTTTCTTTAATTTTAGCTTATTGTAATTGATAAATTCAGAAATGTTGTACCATTGTAAGAGTTCAGTCAAGGATATACTTGTAACACTTTGCAGTTTACTTTCTGGCATGTTAGTTTGTAGTGCTGAAACAGCATGGATAAACAAGTACTCTAGTGGTGAGGCCAAATGCCATCCTTCCAGCTATTCAACTTCACCCATGTCCTGATACTTTTTTGAAACAGGAAGAGAGATGACAAATCTAGAGCATACAGTTCAGGAAGGAAGTGGTGAGAGGAGAGAAAAGAGAAGCAAGATAAAGACTTACATGAAAAGTTGAAAGAAAGACTAAAATGAGACAGACAGACCTAAAAAAACCGGAATGAAGAAAAGTGAATTGGAAATTTCAGAATTGAATATGAAACAGGAAAATCTATTTTACTAGTAACTAACCCCCCCTACAGTCAAGTTTAGGAAAGATATATCGATTTCATAAAATCACGTTCTGACTGTGAGAAGTAAAAGGAGGAAACAAGGAAATGAGACGAGTCTGTCTTTTCTCAGTTGCTTGAATAAGAGCAGTGGTGCTCAACCTTCTGGCCCTACAGATTACATGAGTGGTACGTCATGGTCGCTGTCCTTGTGTGTTTTATCAATGGGTTGTCACTGTTAAAGTCTCAGGGACTGTGGTGCTGGCAAAAAGGTGTAGCCAGGATATCCCAACACCAGCCTTGTTTTAAAGAATGACCACAGACTCGGTTCAGTGACAAAGGCACGGTCAGGTTTGTTGTCTACAAGGCACGGCCCTAATACACTCATGATCTGGCAGACAAGGTGTTGGCACAACACCATGTAGGGGTCCATAGCCCAACACAGAGTTCCTATGATTTCTAATTGTTTTATACAGTGGTCAAAACAAATTACATGCTACATTCTACCAATATCTTGAATACCTTGAGCCTTCCTGTACCATGGGTTTATTCCAGATCCTGATCTGAGTGTTCCCATTCCATCCTTATCTTGATATGAAACCATCACGCAGCTTATGCAGCCATCTCCTCATCTCATGTCATGAGTGCACATCTGGGCCATATCTTAATTGCGTTCCAAGTTTTGCTTATGTAAGGAGTTCATACATTGGCCAGGTTTGCTGATCACTACTCTGAGCAGCGGGGGGGGGGGGGTTCCAGCGAGGCCTACAGTATGGAGCTGATCTATGGGCCAGATCTGGCGTGTGGGGTTGGTCCATGGATGTGATCCAGCATCCTGACCCAGCTACATGCATAGGTCTGATACCACACTTGCCCCAATCATAGAGAATTAGGGTTGGAAGAGACCTTGGGAGGTCATCTAGTGCAACCCCAAGTCTTCTGTTCCAGACCCGGCTGTATGCCATCTCAACCCCATGTACAAGGCCACATCATCCAAGCTGCAGGGTCCCTCATGGGTCCAGAAACTGGACAGCAGGGAAGCTGCAAGTAATGCTGCTCCCCCACTGCCAGTTTTGGACCTGTAGGAAGATGCAAGGGCCAGAAGTTGAGCACCCTTGGATAAGAGGAAATAAATGAAACGGGCTGCTGGGAGAGGGGATGGGTAAGTTTGATTACAAACATTAAAATGTTTTCAAATGGTACTAATTATTTTTTTTTCTTACATAAAACATTATTTGGTATATATCCCTTGCTAGCTAATTCTTGTTTTCAGCTTCACAAGCAGCTCTGGTTCTCTTTTTTTTTTAGAGACTAGGGCGCAGGGCCAGAGCCCGTGAAGGGCAAGACCAGGGCCAAGGGGCCCAGAGCCTGTGAGGGGCAAGATAAGAGCTGAGGCCCAAAAGCCAAGGGTCCCGGTACAGTGGACCTCAGGGAGCTGGGCCAGGGCTGTGTTCGGGGCCGGCAGGGGCAGGGTGGATGGCGCTGGGGAGGGAGACGGTATGGCAAACT